CGGCATATGAATGGATAGTGTGGTCAGCGCCATGCCCAGCCGCATTTAACTTTCACAACGTGAGTCAGGTACGCATTAGAGCTGGGTGGACTCTGGGACGCTCTACAGTTCCGGGTTGGGACCAAGATGTCGTTCCCTAAATATATATAATTAAAATATATAAATATATATTCATTTTAATTTATATATATTTTTCTATTTTTAAAATTCATTTACAGCTAATAAAAATCTTGTAAAGAGATCAGCCGATGCCGATTCATCAGAAGAAACAGTGGTAAATATAGGCTGTAATAATAACTCTCTCTCTCTCTCTCTCTCTCTCTCTCTCTCTCTCTCTATATATATATATATATATATATATATATATATATATATATATATATATATATATTACACACACATGTATATATATAAACACACATGTATATATATATATATATATATATATATATATATATATATATATATATATATATATATATATATATATATATATATATATATATATATATATATGTGTATATATATGAGTGTGTTCAGGTGCGTTATGAAAAAATATAACGAAAAGCAGTTACTATACTACACACGTTGAGTACTAGACTGTAGCAATACGGTCTTTCTTCATTACGTTATTCATGATTACACTTGTTTTTCAAATGGTATTCGTTGGAAAATGGGTCCACGGTAAAGCGCCATTTAAATTTATTAGTGTTATTTTTTTTTTTTTTATTATTGATTGCTACTAAAACAAGCAAAGAAATAAACCAAGAACGAAGCAATGAAATTGTGTAACTAATTAATATCATCAATAAAATTTTATGAATAAAATTCTTTATCGACTTGTCGATAAAATTTAAAACAAAATGGTGAATACTGCTGTATATTGTTTGTTGTTTAGCCAGAGGCGTAGCGACCCTTCCCGGCGCCCGGGGACGAACTTTCAATTTGAAGCCACCCCCCCTCCCATATATTTTTTATATTTATAATGCACAACTGCAGCTAAAATGAGCTTTTAATTTTTGTCCAACTATTTTGGCGCCCCCCTAGGGTCGCCGCCTTGGGACATATGTACCCCCTGCCCCCCTCGATACGCCTCTGTGTTTAGAGTCATGAGCGTATATATGTATTATACAACGAGAATTCCATAGTGTTTCACTGATATAAGGACGGATTCTTTTCATCAGTTTCTAGACGAAGCACCCGCACTGAGAGGCCCAAACCAAGCTGAAGATTTCCAAGGTCCTGAGCAAGAGGAGCCTGTAACTATGTTTTGTTTTAAATCTTTCATTGCATCAACACAACAGCGTATTGACGCTTCAATGCATACATTCATCCACGTATCATACGCATATCATACATGATGCACACACGTATAATACACGCTGATTACTCGTATCATAAATGATACATACACGTATCGAATCATACACGAATACACGCATACATGCATTAGTAAATGAGTACATACGTAAGTACATACATACGTTCATACGAACATCTATACGTGCACATTCTAAGTACGTACATATATACTTACTTAAACGTACGTACACACATACATACATACGTACATACATACATACGTACTTACGTACATGCATACATACATACATACGTACTTCCGTGCAAACGCACATATGTGCATATTTACACACGTACATACGTCGATACATACTTTCGAGCATACTTAACATAGCCCACGGACTTACGTAAGTACATATATACGTAGGTACAAACGTACTTACGCACATACGTACTTACTTGCATCTGTACATTCATACTTCCATACATACGTACATACGTACATTCATACATACGTACATCCAAACATACAGTGGCGTAGCCAGGATCGTCTGAACGGGGGCGGGGGGTTCCAATTTTTACCCGGGGACAAACTTTCGATTTGCACCCCCCCCCCCAGACTTTTGATTTGCACAACCCCCTCAAACTTTCGATATGCACCACCCCCCCCCCCCTCAAATTTTTGATTTGCACCCCCCTAATACTTTATATATATATATATATATATATATATATATATATATATATATATATATATATATATATACTGAGGGGTCTATGGGGGTAGTTATGACCCCCTAATCCCCCCTGCCTACGCCACTGCATACATACGTATGGTATGTACATACATACTTTTTAATAACAAAATATAAAAATAGACCTTTTTTCAGGGTGATTTCGAAAGTGAATCGCAATCCGATGAAGACAGCTCAGAATACAAGAAATAGACATCACACTCCACGCCTACACATCACGAGAATGGGTGTTAATTAGATAAAAACCACTTTTGATTCTTTAATAAATAAATAATGATTGAGTTTCTTCAATCTTTCTATCCAAAATGTTAAATCTAAATTAGCTGGCAATAAAAATTATCGCAAAGTTTATTGAGTTTGTTTTCTATTTGAACTTAAAATCTTACATAACAAAGTACAAAATCATCTAATGACCTAGCGATCCATTGGGCAGATGAAGTAGAATTCATATACTTCTTGACTTCGGCATATGAAGGGATGGTGTGGTCAGCACTTGTCCCAGCCGCCTTTACTTAACCTAACGTGATTTAGATACCCATTAAAGCTAAGTGGACTCAGGGACGTTCTACTGACTTGGATTCCGATTTGACCTCGAGACTTTTGAGTTAGCGCTTTACAGCTTAGGCCTCATGAATACTGTTGTAGAAAAGTTACGTTGTCTTGACTTTGACATATGTACTTAGTATATAGTTCCACTTAATTCAGAATAAATAGATCAAACAATGTTAACAAAATATAAATACTCTAAAATAGATACACATAAAAATAGTCCAAGCATGAATACATTTGTTTCTATACTAGTAAAAAATCGGATGATGTAGTGGACCAGTAGTGCGTACAACTGGTAACCCACAGGCAGAGGCGTAGCGACCCTTTTCGGCGCCCGGGGACAAACTTTGCGATTTGCACCCCCCCTCAAGATTTTCATTTCCACCCCCCCCCCTCAAACTTTCGATTTGCACCCCCCCTCAAGATTTTCATTTGCACCCCCCCCCCCTCAACCTTTCAATTTATTCTTCCAACCCATTTTGGCGCCCGGGACATATGTCCCCCCCCCCCGCTACGCTACTGCCCACAGGAAATAATACAGTTCTCGTAATCCAGTCAGATCCTTTACTAGTTCTTGTACAGTGAATTGTTAAGCTATGGCCTCGCATTCCATTATACTATACCGTCCCATCTTCAAAGCACTTTTTTATCTAAATCTTTTTCTTGTAAGGACTTAAAAACAATATTATATTTGACAGAATATAGGCTTCGGCTTCAAGAAACTGTTTAAAAATATCAAGAATAAGAAATAAAATAACTCATTAATGATAAATTTTCAACGGGGAAAGATAATTTTGGAAGTGAGGTGACTACTGTGTTGCTATTTTCTGTATTCTATTTCTTCCATTGTTGATTCCACATCTGCAGTAAAACAGCTGCTGAAAATATATCCTCCATACCATGTTGGCTAATTCATAACAAGTCGTAATCTCTAGAGCAAGTAAACATAGATCTTCACTCTTTTCAGATTTAAACATAAAAAAAATATATAATCAGTGGCTTAAACATTTTGTTAGCAATTGAAGGTTTTAAAATGGTTCAAATGAAATGTTTATATACAATAATAATTTTTTTATGCTTTTGAAATAAATGTTCGTGAAAAATGTTTCAATTAATAGAACTCAGCTATTATAGTAATTGGACACAATGTTTAACATCCAAGGGAAGTAACAAAAAATATTGATACACATTTCTAGACCGTTCACAAATACATTGTTATCCACCTTAGATACCTTAAAAGCATATTTAACATTTAACGTTCTCTATCTCCATTTATAAATCATGTAAAGCTCAATCATACAATCATTTCATATTTTTTCTCGTAAGTAAGTTTGTAAAAATTATTTTACGTGGTAAAGATGTTTTTTTTAAAGGTCGTAGTCGTAGTCCTAAAAGACTATACACAAATCATTAAACCTGGAAATCTAACTCAATACAATCGTATGAACCATTAAAAAAGAGAGTGTCTTTTAAAGAAGTTTTACTTACGATTCGACCTTATTAGATCACAGATAGACATAATAACAGCAAAAATAGTAGATGACTGTAAATCCTAATGTAGTATAATTATAATAAAATGATGGGATAAAGTCGTCACTTCACTAGTGAACGCTACTGAATTTATTGATTTCGTTGTAAGTCCAGTTCCTTTTTAAAACTGATTGCATTCTGTGGCGACTGAGATACACGTCATAGCTTAGTGGATTCTGTGGCGACTGAGATACACGTCATAGCTTAGTGGATTCTGTGACGAAGAGACGACTCATTAGAGCGGGGTGGATTATATGACGTCAAAACAAATCGGAAGACACTCAGATCAGGGTAAACTGTGAAGTCAGGAAACATGACTTGTTTATTTTTTTACATCATTGATTGCTACTAATACAAGCGAAGAAATAAAACGAAGAACGAAGCAATGAAATTGTGTACTAAGTTCATATCTTCTTCTTCGTTCTTAACCCCCTCTCCAACACAATTAAGTAATTGTGTCAACTGGTTATGCGCCATTGAGGCCATTGAATCCGATTTCAGCCTGCTTTTCTTTTTGGATTTGCTTCCGTAGCCTTTGTCTAACCAAGAACAGACTACCAGGCAGCAAATGTTTGTTTTTGGAGTTGTCTCTCCTAGAAGAGTGGCTGTCCCCAGCTAACGAGCCTCATCTGTCCGAGGGTTCGAGCTTTACCGACTCGACCACGACGACCCCCTCTAACTCCTATCATCAATAAGATTTTATAAATAAAAATTTTTATCGACTTGTCGATAAAATTAAAAAAAAAATGGCGAATACTGCTGTATATTGTTTGTTGTTTAGCGTCATGAGCGTATATATTTATTATACAACGAGAATTCCATAGTGTTTCACTGATATAAGGACGGATTCTTTTCATCAGTTTCTAGACGAAGCACCCGCACTGAGAGGCCCAAACCAAGCTGAAGAATTCCAAGGTCCTGAGCAAGAGGAGCCTGTAACTGTCACTTAAATTTTTTGTTTTAAATCCTTCATTGCATTTACATAACAGCGTATTGACGCATCAATGCATACATTCATCCACGTTTCATACGCATATCATACATGATGCACACACGTATAATACACGATGATTACACGTATCATAAATGATGCATACACGTATCGAATCATACACGAATACACGCATACATGCATTAGTAAATGAGTAAATACGTAAGTACATACATACGTTCATACGAACATCTATACGTGCACATTCTAAGTACGTACATACATACTTACTTAAACGTACGTACACACATACGCACATAAAGACATACGTACTTACGTACATGCATACAAACATACATACGTACTTCCGTGCAAACGTACATACGTGCATATTTACACAAGTACATACGTCGATACATACTTTCGAGCATACTTAACATAGTCTACGGACTTCCGTAAGTACATATATACGTAGGTACAAACGTACTTACGCACATTCGTACCTACTTGCTACTGTACATCCATACTTCCATACATACCTACTTATGTACACACAGAAACCTCAACTTTTTAATAACAAATTATAAAAATAGACCTATTTTTAGGGTGATTTCGAAAGCGAATCGCAATCCGATGAAGACGGTTCAGAATACTTCAAGAAATAGACATCACCCTCCACGCCTACACATCACGAGAATGGGTGTTAATTAGATAAAAACCACTTTTGATTCTTTAATAAATAAATAATGGTTAAGTTTCTTCAATCTTTCTATCCAAAATGTTAAATCTAAATTAGCTGGCAATAAAAAATATCGCAAAGTTTATTGAGTTTGTTTTCTATTTGAACTTAAATTCATACCTAACAAAGTACAGAATCATCTTTTGACCTAGCGATCCATTGGGCAGATGAAGTAGAATTCAAATACTTCTTGACTTCGGCATATGAAGGGATGGTGTGGTCAGCACTTGTCCTAGCCGTCTTTACTTAACCTAACGTGAGTTAGGTACCCATTAAAGCTAAGTGGACTCAGGGACGTTCTACTGACTTGGACTCGGATTCGACCTCTAGACTTTTGAGTTAGTTTTCTACAGCTTAGGCCACGCCGCCCCGTGAATACTGTTGTAGCAAAGTTAGGTTGTCTTAACTTTAATGTTATACGCAACCTAAGTTCTAGTAGAATCGACCGTCGCAAACAAAACATGAACTAAATAATAGCTACAATTTTTAAAATTGTTTCAATATTTTTAAAATTCTTTCCTTCTGATGTCTAAAGTTCAGATGTTAAAAGATGTAGCTTTTAAATAAGATATTTTATTTCTATAAACAACTTAGACATATGTACTTAGTATATAGTTCCACGTAATTCAGAACAAATAGATCAAACAATGTTAACAAAATATAAATACTCTAAAATAGATACACATAAAAATAGTCCAAGCATGAATACATTTGTTTCTATATTAGTAAAAAAAAACGTGGGTACGTTCACCATCAAATTTCCCGATGTAATATATTGGGATTTGTTGGGGTCAGGGGAACTCACTCTTCTTGTATTAGTTATATTTATAATGTTGTTATTGAGTGATGTCCCTTGTATTTATCTATTGTTACTTCCTGTTCCTCTCTCTTCCATCATGGCTGAATAAAGTCTAGTTAACAATCAACGCGGCTTCTCGTCAGTGTTTCCAATCTATTACATTGGCGACGAGGATAAATGATCCACTAGAAAGAGCACCTACTTACTCAAAAAGAGGTTTGCTAGAGCATATTGGCTAAGTATTTCTAGGAAAATGGCGCTATATGGCCAAATAAAAGAATTTGATTCGAATGATGAAATCATTCATGATTATCTAGATAGGTTAAGCTTTTACCTTGAAGCAAACAACGTGACGATAGAAGCCAAAAAGAGAGCTGTTTTGTTAACAGTCATAGGGCCTCAACAATTTAGGCTACTAAAGGACTTATGCGCACCAGCTAGTCTAACTACCAAGAGCTTTAACGAGCTGAGCAAATTGCTAACAGACCACCATGCGCCTACCCCATCAAAGTTTCTATGTAGAGCTAGATTTGACGGTAGGACTCTTCAACCAAACGAGTCAATATCAGAATATGTTGCTGCTTTACGTCATTTAAGTAGATTTTGTGAATTCGGAGACACGCTGTCTGACAGACTATGTGAAAAGTTTGTGACAGGTGTAAATAGCCCTGATGTTCAAAGAAAGTTGCTGCTCGAGTCAGATCTAACATTAGAAAAAGCAATACAACTTGCAACTTCATTCCAGCAGTCATCAGATGCAGCGAAATCTCTAGCACCTTCAGAGATCCATGCAGTAAACAGCAGGTTAGTCAACAAACACCAACCCCATCAGAGCATTCCAACTTATGCTAAACAGCCTGCACGTTTAAAGCCTAGATCTAAATCTAGTAATAATTATCAAAAATGTCATCGATGCAAAGGTCCCCATGCATCTCATCGGTGCAAGTTCAAGTCTGCAGCTTGTTATAAGTGCAGTAAGCAAGGTCACATTGCCAAGGCCTGCTTTGCAAAGTCTTTGTCTGTTGCTAAATCTAGCCAGTCAAGACAGTACCGCAACCAAAGGCAGCACTATGTTAACTCTCACCAAGACTACCTAACCCAACCAATGAACCACTCTACCTGTGAAAATGCTCAAACTGATTCGCAGCCGGATTTCAACCTATTCTCTGTGAAATCAATAAGTCATGCTCCCATCAATGTACTAGTTTATATCAACGGTAAGAGCATCAGCTTCCAACTTGACACTGGAGCATCTCTAACAGTCATCACAAAGAAGGACTTTGACGCTGTCACAGGAGGATCAGTGCCTCTACAACCATGTCACAAGTGTCTAACAACATACACTGGTGACAATGTTCCCGTGATAGGAGAGTGTATGGTTCATGTAAGTTATAATGGTCAAAGTGTTAAACTTCCTCTTCTTGTGGTTGAAGGAAATGGACCACCATTACTAGGTAGGAACTGGTTAGTTGATCTTAAGTGAAATTGGGAGAGTATATGTTCATTGAACAATGCAAAAGAATCTAGTCTTACTTCAATAGATAAAGTTATATCTGAAAATAAAGGTGTTTTTGGTAATCCTGGATTACTAAATGATAGAACAGTGAAGATAAGCATTAAAGACACAAATCCAAGATACTGCAAAGCTAGAGTTCCACCTTATGCAATGAGGAATAAAATTGAAAATGAGCTAAGTAGATTGGAATCTAATGGCATCATAAAGAAGGTAGACTATTCCGATTGGGCAACGCCCATTGTGCCAGTGTTAAAGAAGGATGGTTCTATAAGAATTTGTGGAGACTATAAAGCTACACTGAATAAGCAAATAGAGCTAAATAGGTACCCTATACCTAACATTGAGGAAATTTCTTTGAATTTGGCAGGAGGAGACAAATTCACTGAATTAGACTTTAGTCATGCTTACACTCAACTAGAACTGCATCCAGATTCAAAAGTCTATACGACAATAAACACACATAAAGGACTCTACCAATATGAAAGACTATGTTTTGGTATATCATCCAGCCCTGGAATTTTCCAGGCTGTCATGGACAGTATTTTTAAGGATATTCCAAATGTTTGTGTTTACTTTGACAATGTGTACATAACTGGTAAGAATGACACTGAACATCTTAAAACACTTGATAAAGTCTTGAAAATAGTTGGTGAAAAAGGTTTAAAGATAAACAAAGATAAATGTCAATTCATGCTGACAGAAATTAGTTTTCTTGGTTATATATTAAGCAAGCAAGGTATCAGACCTCAACCTGAGAAAACAAAAGCCATTAAAGAAGCACCCAAACCTGAAAATACCCAACAACTAAGAGCTTTTTTGGGCTTGATAAATTACCATGCAAAGTTCATAGGGAATCTGTCTGGTAAACTATCACCACTGTACAAGCTGCTACAGAAAAATGCAACTTGGCACTGGGGTAAACAACAAGAAGCTGCTTTTAATACAGCAAAAGAAGCTTTGTCTTCTGACACCTTACTAACTCACTATGACCCAGGGAAAAGACTTATATTAACATGTGATGCTTCACCAGATGGTGTAGGAGCAGTCTTATCCCACATAGATGAAAAGGGTGACAGACCCATTGCTTTTGCCAGTAGATCTTTGAATCAGGCTGAGAAAAATTATTCTCAGTTAGATAGGGAAGGCTTAGGCATCATTTTTGGTGTTAAGAAATTTCATAAGTTTCTGTTTGGTAGGAAGTTCACCATCTTTACAGATCATAAACCATTGCTAGGTTTATTTGGAGAAAACAAAACCCTACCTGAGCATGCCTCACCAAGAATTCAAAGATGGGCTATCACACTAACTGCATACAATTATGAATTGAAATACAAACCTGGATCTGAGAATAGTGCAGATAGTCTTAGTAGATTACCTTTAAAAAACCAAAGCCTTAGTTATGTACCAGAAGAAGTATTTGTTTTTTTCACTATCACGGATAACTCCAATATAAATGTGAATGGTATTAAAAGAGAAACACAAAAAGATGAGTGCTTAATAAAAGTATATGAGTACTGTAAAAATGGTTGGCCTGAAGAGTCAGTGAATGATGACTTAAGGCCATATAACATAAGAAATAAAAACCTTTGTGAAGATAATATAAAAGATGGAGAAGATGCAGTCCATTATCAGTGAGAGTTACCTAAACAAAGTACTAGTAACTTAATAAATGATTATGGTGATATGGCAATTTCAAATGCTTTTAAAGAGAATACATTAGTAAGAAGGAATGTGATCATCAAACAACTTTGCTAACACCATTAGCACTGACAGAAACTAAAAGGGTAACATCAATTCAAAAGAAAAGAAAAAAGATTTTGGCCATTTAATACACTCATTTCAAATACTGGATCACAGTTGCAAAGTGATATGGTCCAGGATATTACTTTTAAACAGTATTTTTGGTTACTAAAAAGCACTATCAGATTACCTGAGAAAATTGATCAATCAAAGAAATCTATGTCAGTCAAGGATCTGAATAACAGCATAATACTTCCAGATGCCAATTCAAAAATAGTTCCATTAAATCATGACAAAACATGCATTGAAAGAGAATTTGGTGTTAATGAGAATGTGTATCTAAGAAACTATGGGAGAAAGGAAAAATGGATACCAGGTCAAATTGTTCAATGTACAGGACCTGTGTCTTATAAAGTAAAAACAAATGATGGACTTATTGTCCGTAGACATGCAGACCAGTTAAAAATAACTAGTGCAGATAATAAGTGTGAATCTATCAATCCCACCAAATCTGATCAGTTCACACCAACTCAGTTTGTTCCACAACCAAGTTCTGTTGATATGAGTGAACCAAGTTGTCTGGAGTCAGAAAATGTAAATTCTGGAATTAATGATTTAGATCCTAGACCTGCTGAGATAGAGAATCCATATGGTCAGAATCTTGAGTCACCAAATCAAAAGCCACTGAGAAGGTCAAACAGGACAATCAAAGTCCCAAATAAGTTAGACCTATGATTTTAAGGGTCAAAAGGACTTTGACATCATTGTTTTGTATCTTGATTATGTTGTAGCATATTGTGCATTGTTTGTAAGGATGTAATCTACCATAGTGTTCATGTTACAATATAATTGGTGATTTTAAGATACTGTCAATTGTTCTATTGAGAGATGTGTTGTGTTTACTAAGGGTAAAGGGATGTAATATATTGGGATTTGTGAGGTCAGGGGAACTCACTCTTCTTGTATTAGTTATATTTATAATGTTGTTATTGAGTGATGTCCCTTGTATTTATCTATTGTTACTT